CAGGCCACTTCTGTTTTTTTTGTTTTTGGTTTTTTTTTTTTTTTTTTAAATTTTGACAGTCTGTGCACAGACCCAGTGGGAGGCCACCACATCAGAGAGAGGTGAAACCGCTCTATAAAAACCTCCACTGCAGTGTTTGCAGGGAGTGGATCTTCCATTACACTTCCAGAAACCTAGCCCTTTATACGCCTGGCTGGGAGGTGAACGGAAGAGATGATAAGGATGGCTGCCGCTGACAGACCAGGGCCTATGGGCCAACCGCTTCTCTGGAAACCATTCTAGCGCTGGATCTGTGCAGTGTCAGCAGCTCAGCCCAAACGTCTCCCCAACTCTCTCCTCCCCCTTTCCAGTAGGAGGTTGAAGCTCAAACTCAGAGCCGTAGGCCTGGGACTGAAACCTAAAAAGTTGCCAAGTTGAGAGGCTTCAACCTTCCCTTTGTCTGACTTGGAGAAAAATGAAACAAACAAACAAACAAACAAACAAAACCCCAAAGCATTCTGGGTATACACCTTTAATCCCAGCACTCAGTAGGCAGAGGCAGGTGGACTTCTATGAGTGTGAGGCCAGCCTGGGCTACATAAGAGTCTAGGCCAAGCAGGGCTGCATGGTGAGACCCTTTCTCAAAAGCAAATAAATAAATTGCTTGATTAATTAACAAATGTTCTGTCATAAGCCCATATCTACGTGAACTTCTAAATGTCCTCTCTCTTTTATAGATTGGGATTTATACATTGGCCAGAAGGGTCAAAATCAGCTGGACACATATCTTCTCCTTCCTGTAGATTTCTGGCAGTTGGAGATGCATGTAGAAATAGGCAAGGTTTGTCAAGCAGGTTGCCTGCAAGACTGGAGAAAGTACAAAGCCTGAAATAATAATGGCCTTGAATACTCTTAGGGGCTGGCGGCAAGACCACTGATGCATGCGGCATGATAACAAAGCAGAAAACAGGGCATTCACCAAGTCTCTGCAAGGACCGGAAGACTTGCTTGTAGGGTCATGCTAACCCTCGGTTGCCTTCCTCGTGGGCTTTAGAATCTCTTCTGAGAATCATTCCTGGGAGTGTGGGGAGCCAGGTAATGCCCAGATTTGAATCATCCCAAGGGTTTGCTGAAACAGTATGTAATTATGCCTGGGGCTGGCTCAGGCTTTACACTCAATCTCCCTGCTCCTCTTCCTCTTCTTCTCCTTCCTCTTTCCTCTCTTCCCTTTCACCTCCTCTCCCTCCATCCTTCCTTCTTTCCTTCCTTCCTTCCTTCCTTCCTTCCTTCCTTCCTTCCTTCCTTCCTTCCTTCCTTCCTTCCGGGTCTTTTTAATGTAGTCTTGACTGTCCTGGAGTGTACTAAGTAGATCAGGCTGACCTCAAACTTGGAGATCCTACTGTCTTTGCCTCCCAAATGCTGGGCTCAAAGGTGTACCCTATCGTATCTGACAGCATGTATCTGCTTCTCTGTTGTGTTTTCCATTACTTCTCCAAGAGGGGAGTGACCTGCTTCAACAGGGCCAGGATACTGATGCTGGTCATGCTTCTCTCTGTCTCTGTCTGTCTGTCTGTCTGTCTGTCTGTCTGTCTGTCTGTCTCTCTCTCTCTCTCTCATACTGTTTGTTGAGCCAGAGTCTTGCTACTTAGTCAGACGGACCTTGATCCTCCTTCAGGTACAGGAATACCAGTATTATAGTTAGGTACTACAATGCCAGCTAAGAAGTAAGGATTCAGACCCTTGAGAGCACCCCAGTTTCTTCTCATAGCAGTGACCGAGCTTCTGTTTCTGGCTAGGGTATAGCTTTCTCCTGGGAATTTTCATATGACTGGGGTTTTATATGTGTTATCTCTTTTCTCTGATGCCACCGTGGGGACAGTTCTTCTGTTTTACACTCAGAATGACTGGCACAAGATGTGCAGGAATTTATGATGCTTCCAGAGTTTAGTGAGGTGGCATGGTGCTGTGTCCAGACTGAACTGTATGATGTTTTGGAACAAGTGTGGAATTGGAGTTAGTGTTTCTAAGGAGGTCATCTAGGTGTAGTGAAATCATTAGGACGGACCTCTCCAGTCTGACCAGTGTTCTTGTTAGTTGAACAGTTGAGAAACTAGGGATGCTTGAACATGAGAAAGACAGTACAGGGACAGTGAGAAGTGCCACGTGCAGACAGGCCAAGGGGAGAGACCCTACTGCCACCTGGGGCTAAGGATTGTGAGATCTTAGATCTCTGCTGCTGAAGCCGGGCCTCTGGTGCTATGATATGGTGCCCCAGGTCAACAATGACACTTAGTCAATATCAGTGATTAAAGCCACGATCTCTATTGGAAATGTTTTCATTTCCATTGCAAGCGACACAAACAGAATCTACAAACAACAACAAGCCATTAGGCTAGGGCTCCAAGTTACTAAGCTCATTGGCTTTGGGAGCTTCTAAAACTTGGTGTGGTACCTCTGAGTCTTCAGCAGCATTGTTTCCATTTGGCGGAAGTCACACTTAGTTCAAGGACACCAAAAGCACCTTGTACCAGGGACTTGGGTATTTCATACAAGAACTGCGTTTGAAGCCATTATTCAGGCTGTGAATTTACTCACTGTATTTATACCGTCTTCGGTCAGAGCTAGTCTGGGTGACTGATCTTGTTTATGACCATAGCATAACCGCAGAAATGAAAAAAGGCATCCAAAAAGGCATCTACACCCAAACTGGAAGCCTTGCCTTTAGTGGGCAGCTTCAGGTGGAAAACTCCGCTTCCCACCCTCCCAACTCCTGAAGGAGGATCCTCAGTTGTACTTGTGAGGGCTGTAGATATAGCTGTGACTGCGGCAATGGGGATCTGCTCCCAACCTGCCATCAAAGCCTATGTCTAGACCAGCCCAGGAGTAGCACTGGACTACGTTATCCTTGCCCTGCATGTGGCTACTCTGCCTCCCATGCTGTGATGGTCAGAGAAGGCACTGTAGCGTAGTGAGGACTTCAACACCACTTCATGTTCTCTGTCCAAAAGGGAAGACTCTGCCCTGCGGGCCATTTGTTAACAAAACCTCTGCAAAAGATGAAAACAGGTCTACCCACACAATGGAGCCAATGCCCAAATGTCAGTAGAACCTTAGTTTTACTGGTGGATATTTAAAAGAACAGTCATCTCATAGGCTCATGTCAATGTTACAGCAAACATTGTTACCACCACCATCATCATCATCATCATCATCATCATCACGAATAATAAAAACCTAGAGACAGATATTGGGGTTCAACTTGAAGATCAGAAAAGCAAAACAGCCAAGCAACTATTAGCTTTATAAAATCTTCAAACTGAAAGGGTGAGTTCCTGTCTCATCCCACTTTATATTCCTCTCTAGTGCTGGGATTAAAGGCTTGTATCACCACTGCCCAGTATCTATGCCTAACTAGTGTGACTGTTGGGATTAAACGTGTGTGCCACCACTGCCTGTATGACTGACTAGTGGGGCTGTTTTGAATCTATTCTGCAAGCAAACTTTGTTTACTAAAATACAAATGAAATATCACTACATTTCCCCTTTTCTTGTCTAAAATAAAAAGGCTATACCTAATAAGAAAAACTATATTTAATAAGTACAATAACTATATATAGTATATACAGGCAATAAATACATCAACAATGTCCAGTTTATTTGCATTTGACAGATTCAGAAAAAATACTCCATATCTATCCTATCTTGGTGAGTCCAAAGTCTTGTACCTAATTTACTTCCTATCATAACTTGCTTTCTGTATCTGGTAAATTATAACTACCTAGTCTTCAACTCCCTTCAACACTCAAGAAGGAAATAATATTAACTGAGTTAGTAAGAAGTGTAAGCAAGGACTAGAAATTTGCATTACACTGTTAAATGAGTTGTATAGGTATAAGACTTTGAACAAGAGTAAAAATATATGTAGAGTATGTTCTAACAAAATTAACCTCAAATTTATATCCATATAAAATTTGTATACAATATACAAAAATCCAATTCAATGTAAAAACATTTAAAACTAGTAGTTGCTTTTTGAAAGTAGATTCAATAATCTACGTTTTTATCTTATCATATCTATGTCCTCCAATTTTTCTTTTCAGAGTAGATTCCATAATCTACTACCCTTTTATCCTGTCAATTCCTCATCACTTTTATTCTTCTCTGTAGAAGTCAGATAGGATCCCTGACCAAGTCCCACGGTGTTTCTATACTTTTCAAAGAACTTTTAAACCACTGCCCATGTCTTCCTTAGCAGTCATGATGGCCTCTTAGGTTCAGAGACATCCAATGACTTGTTATTTGCACAGCCTGGCAGAATCTACTTTCTCCTCCTGGGAGGAGGGACTGCAGGGACAAGGGAACAGCAAACAGATAGCCCTTGTGGTACAAACCCCCTTCTCGCTCTTGGTTTTCAGAGGTCTCTTCTACAGACCAGGGCTCCCATGTGTCTATTCTAGAGGTCAAGAGATTATGACTCCGGCAGTGATGCATCCTTTAGCCTGTTATTCCCTCCTGCAGGTGACGGAGGGTATGCCCTGACTTCTGTGACTCTGCCAGGTGTTCCTGTGACTGGAAGTTTGCACACACAGGTGCACTCGCAGGCAGCTTCCCAGAGACTTTCAGGAAAGTGGGGCGTGGAGCAATCCCCAGGTGCTCTGCTGGTTCTGGTTCCTCAGGCTGAAACCTCAGGGCAGGGGACAGCTTGTGCAACCTAAGGACAGGTGCATTCTCAGGTCTTGGCCCTGGTGTCTAATTTCCTGGCACCAAAGTTCCAGCTGCGTGACCAAAGCTGAGTGTCCCAAACAGAAGCAAGGCCACACGTAAACCGGAGTGGCAGGGAGTATATGGGGGCAGGGGGGGTTACATGCATGCAAAGTACCAAATGGGAACACAGAGTGGCATGATGGCCGGCTGATCTGAGAGTTATCTTGGGGGCTGTAATTTGTGTAAATATAATCATTTAGCACCTTTGCTTGCCAACCTTAAGTAGAGCTTCCTGCTTTCTGTTTTGTTCGATGCAGGCTTTGGGGAAGGCACATTTTTTTTCCACACTGACAAGCCTGGGACTTTGCATAGGAAATTAAGATCCAGACCAAGGATGATGACCAAAGACTGAGGCCCCAATCGCAAAGTGCAAAGTATCCTTGGACTTTCCGGATGGTGAGCGCATTGTCTTTGTGATCACATGTATCTAATTTCCCTGGTAGGAACGCCAATCAGCTAGCAGGCATGGGTACCATGGAGCCACACTCAGATTTAAGCACCTTATGCCATCCTCATAACTCACTCCGAGTTGGGTACCATGGAAACAGGCACTTGGAGGGCATCAGTGAATACTCTGGGGCTGCATAGCTTGTGTAACGTGGCAGAGAACAGAATGTAGTGTGTGGCCAGCATTCTCTTGGTATTCCTTTACATAAGCTTTCAAGGCAGAAGATTGGGAGGAGTAAGGTGAAGTGAGGGAGCCTCGGCCTGAGTGTCGCTCTGGGCTCTGAAGGAGGAGGGAAATAGAGGAGATACACATAACCGCGCATGAGCACATCTATCCATGGCAATCGGTGATTCTGCAGATCGTCCCTGACTGCTTGCTCCCCTCCTGGCATTTTCAGCCCGTTCATGCTTGAAGTGGGTGTTTATGAAGCCATTCCCAAACCTCAGTTCTACGCTCCAGGCATGAGGCCGTGCAGGTGCCAGGACTTTCTCTCAGAGGAGACCTTGGTACCAAAAGCCCCTCAGGGAAGGAGGCGGGAAGTGCCACTCTGACTTCCACAGTGTCTGTTAAGCTGCTTGACACTTGGAGGAAAATGGTAGGAAGGGGAGGACTCTTGTCAGTGCTTGGGCCACTGGGTCAAGCCCTGGCAGCCCCTGGCTCAGCCTCCAGAGAAGATTCCCCACTGACTTTATTTCCAGGCCAAGAATGGCTTTCACCACACTGAGCCATGCACTTGCCTCTGTGCGCTCCTGCTGGCTCCCGTCCTCCCCCACACGCCTGAGTAGTTCTCAGAATGCTCTCCTGTGTTCTGCAGTATGCGCTGTGCAGGACGGGGTGCTTCCTGGAAACCTTCCTCATTCTTTCCTGCTCCGCAGCTCTGCTTTCACTACAAGGAATCCTTATAGGCAGACATTCTGGAGTCCTCTCTCTTGTCCATATCAAACCTAATTGCTGCAGTTTGCAAGTTGGAGGAGCCCGATTCCATGAAAGGGGGACCGTATTCGTCCCAAGGCCTCAGCTGAAGAGTAGTAGCCAAGGCTCCAGCCTCGCTGGCCAGGCTTCTATGGCCCTTCTGGTCTTCTGCCTCCTGGAGGGCTATAGATAGGAGACACCCTTCCTGGAAAGACAACAGCTTAGGGACACTACAGATAAGGCCAGGCGGGGTGTGCCTGGTCGGCCCAGAATAAAAGGCTTACCAGGAGAAGTTTCTTAGGAATCCACCTTCCTTGAGGTGGGCCCTGCAGATAAAGATGCCTTTGAAGTTCCGTTGGCGGTTGATAGGATCTCTGTGGCAGAGCCTGTCACAGGGAGCCCTCTGGATGGCTGTCCCCAGATAGCCAGATCAGCAGGCCGAAGATAGAGAGAAAGAAGACTTATCTAGAAGGGCCTCTGCAGGACTGGCTTTGAGGTACTTCCTTCCTGTCAGCCCATTTCTGGAGTCATTCTCTTCTCTGAAGATGTAGAAACTGAGGCATAGGTCACCGTTAGAAAGCCCAGACGAGAGCGTTGCTGTTTGTAGCGAATGTGGGTTCCACACTGTGGCCGTTCAGTACATACTAAAGCCGATGAACACAAGCATTGTACCACATTCTGGGAGCCCAGGAGCAGATCCCATACCCTTTCCCAGAGAAAATTCTGGGTCTCCTGCCTGTAAAGAAGCTTAGATGGACACTCAGGCCATCGCGGCCAAGGTGTGCTGGGGACAGGGAAGCACGCAGCGGAGCCTGCAGCTGGACTGGAGGGGCTAAGAGAGAGGTAGAAGGAAGGCAGGCAAAGCGAGCAGGAACCAGACTCTGGTGGAGCCATTTGCATTTTGGCTGAAGGCAGAGAGTCATAAGGACTTTAAGTCAAGGCAGAGGAGAAAAAGAGTGGCCTCTTCCAAACCCGAGACTCTTCATTCCGGGGACAACATTGAGAAGGACAAAAGGTGGCTGTGAAAGTGAATATGTAATTTCGTAGTAGAGCACATAGTCCTGGTTTGGTCCCTGAAGAAACTCACACGTGCAGGAGTTTGGCAGGGGGCGGTGGAGGCTGGGGGCATCTGGAGGGGCCGAAGGGGGAGGACCTATCCTGGGACAGAGGTGGGTGGCTTGAAAATTCCTGACACAGAGATTCCACACAGTGCCGTCAGACATTATTGCTTTCATCCCAGAGACTGGGGCATTCACTGGCACAGGTGGCTTCTGAGAATTCTAGCGTTCCCCTTTGTCCCTGCCCTAGAAATGATGCCCTCCTCAGGCACTAGAAGAGCATCCTTGGAGGGAGCGAGGCTTGGAAATCTTTGGGGAGAGCTGTGCTTGTTTCTAGAGGTTGGTGGGGCAAGCATGTGGGGCTGGTTGCAGGCAGGATTATATATATATATATATATATATATATATATATATATATATATATATATATATGAAGGACTGTTCTCCTGCTGTAGAAAAATGCACAGGAAGCAATAGGGAAGGGTCTTCTCCTGAATAGAAAGTTGGACTTGGGGGCCTCTCATAGAAGAAAACCCATCCATGATTCGGCCGGGGCACAAAGGGGTTAGGTCAGCCCTGAAGAGCGTATGAGCTTCAATGTGTGTGGTCCCACACAGAACCCCAAAGTCTGCTCCTGTTGAAGCAGCTGCCATGAGGCTCAGACACCTGCACGGGCACTCTGGGAAGAGTGTACTCCGTAACCCCAAACTCAGATGGAGGTACCTCCTAAGTAAGGGCAGCACAATGGTAGCACCCCCCCCCCAAAAGATGGAAATGCAGAAGATTCTAAGTTCCCTATGATTCTTTGCCATCCCAGCTTTATCTATGAAGATGGACGATAAACTCAGGGTAGTTCTCAAATGCCCCAAGGCTACAAAGCTGCCGTATTGAAAAGCAGACTGGAAAAGTCTGCCTTTCCCCAGACCCCAAAATGCAAAGTTACCTGTGTCCGTAAGGTTCAAGTATTCTAGAAGGGATCAAAAGGAAAAGCAAAGAGCAGTTTCTCGGCTACCTTACAGTATGACCCATTTTGTTATTTCCATCAGCATGGAGGTTAGAACACCAGCAGGCCTCCTGCTTTAGAAGTAAAGTTTTATTAGGATACAACCATACCCATTCTCCTGTGTTTTGTCTATGTTGACTTGTTGCTTCAAGGGCAGATTCCAGTTGTGGCAGCAAGCTTGTGCCCTATAGGGACGGAAGGAAAGGCCAGCGCCATTGTAAACTGCATTTCTGACTACTACGAAACTGAGTTCTTTGTAGAGCATCAAGTACTTTGTAGGCTATTTCTTGTTTATTATGATTTTCAGACTGGGACGGTGAGACAGTGAGCTGCGACTCAACCAGGACTCCCTCATCCCAAAGGCTAAGTTTACCCACCCACCCTTCCTTCCTTCCTTCCTTCCTTCCTTCCTTCCTTCCTTCCTTCCTTCCTTCCTTCCTTCCCTCCCTCCCTCCTTTCCTCCCTCCCTCCCTCCCTCCCCTCTCTCTTTCTTTCTTTTCCCCCCATTGGTTAAAAACAACTTCTTTATTAATCAAAGGCAATAAAATATATTCATAGCATACAGAGGGAAATCCCACATCAATCTACCCTTGAACTTCTACTCAGGGGCTGACAAACCAGGATCATGAGTACAAATGTGTCCCAGACTCTACTGGAGTCCAACCTCGGCTGGATAACAAACCACATCTTAAGGGAATTTGTCAAAATATGAAAAATGAACCCAAAAACAACAACCCACCACCCTTTTCCTGCCAACCTTACTTGAAAAGAATCATCACACTTTGCCTGATATTTAAATGAACCATGGGCTATTGAGATGATGGGCGTCCGGCTTGACACATTGTAGCAGAAATGACCTATCTCTAAGTGAAAATGTGGCCCATCTATTTAGTCAAATTCAATTCGTGGTCCTTATATTCCTTCTGTGGCCTTAGTTCATCTTCGATTACCCTGCATTGCTATACCACTGCTGCACCCAGACACAGCAGCCCCGGCCCACTCACCCTGCTTGGCTAAGTTGTCCTGTAGACGTCATTGTTTGGGGACTGCTGCATGAGCCTTGGGGTTTTGAGAGCGTGGAACATGTCTCTACCCTTGGACTATCGGCAGCCTCTGCCTGGCCTGCTGTATGAGTTCCTTACTTTATGTTTTATTTTGTATTACTGTGACAGTATGTCCACCGAAAGCAAAGCACAGCAGGAAGGGTTGCCACGGCTCACCGTGGGGAAGAAAGCACAATGGCAGGACCACAAGGCAGCTGGTCGCGCCGTATGTGCAATTCAGAACCAGGGAGTGACGGATACTGGCCCTCTTTTTGCTTTATCCTATCCATTTTGTCCAGAATCCTGACCCACAGCCTGGTTCTGCTCATATTTAGGGTGGGTCTTCCCCACCTCACTTAACCCAGTCTTAGAGACTCTCCCAACAGCCGTTCTGGAGGTTTGTCTCCTAGGAGATCTAGATCCTGTTATATATATCAGCAATCGATACGAACCATTATTTCTGGCGTCCAGCAGGATCCCAGTAGTGGTTTATGACTGGAAAGCAGGTTCTAGCAAAGGAGAGTTGGGACCCTTTGTGGTTGAATACAAGAGCCCAGCTTCTGGAAACCACGCTAGCCTGCTTTGTGACCTTGGACTGGGAGCCCAAGTTTCTTTCTGTGCCTTCAATTTCCTGATGAGAAAAGTGGGGTAAACCTAGCACTGATAATACCGTGAGAGATACAGGCATGGCGGTGGGTCACGTGCAGGAAAGATTCTTGACACATTGCCAGATTGACAAGAAACAGGCTATTACAGGCTCAGGGGCATTTGTGGCAGACTCCCTAGAGACAGAGGAGGAAAGTAGCAGCAGCAGCAGCAGCAGCGTGATTCTTTGATAGTCTTGACAAAGGAAATTCCCAGCAGGTGAGGGTGTTAGAGATGGAATAGCCAGCCTCGCCTCACCTCTTCCACTCCTGAGAGAGTCAGCCTCT